TCATCCAGAAGGGAGAGGTGTAGGAATGCCAGGTGGTGTATTGTTCATCCAGAAGGGTGAGCTATAGGAATCCCACGTGACATATTGTTCACGCAAAAGGGCGAGCTATAGGAATCCCAGGTTGTGTATTGTTCATCTAGAAATGCGAGATATAAGAATGTCAAGGGGTATGTTGATTATCCCAGAAAGAATGTCATGTGGTGTTGTTCATCCAGTAATGTGAGGTATGGTAATGACACGTGACGCTGTAGGATGACATATTAGTGCCGATTTGTTTTGTGTTCATTCATAAGTTTACATAAGAACAAAAGTGTTGTTCATCCACGATAGTTATTAACACTGAATATATTTGAATAATAATCAACAACATTTTCAGTGACGTCCTCACGTTGTCCGCAGTTTGTACCTCAGGCAAAGATAAAACATTTTCACTCGGGACATTTACTTGAAGCTCTTATGATATCCTAGAAACATATACTCGTGTAATTGTCATATGTAATAAACCGTCGGTGATTTTTTAGATTGATACTAAGGTAAAATAAGGTCGGCCTGTAGTATCTTATCTGACGTCATGAGTGAACAGGTCGGATTAAGTGTTTCATAATCTTCAGAACTCCACTGCACCAGAAGCTGGGTCAGACTGGTTATCTAGAAAGTCGACACAAGTCAACCAGAGCACTGCAGGAACAGCCTCATGTTGGTACTGTTACTGCGTGACTTGACATATCAGTAGCAGCTGTTTTTATAAATATTTCGTCTTCACTCAAATAAACTGAGAGGCAATTGTGTGTGAAAAACACCAAACCGAAATGTAACTATGCTGATGGAGTGAGTAGAATAGGGTTTGTTTCTATTTTGTCAGCGAATGATGCCGATGTAATATTTAAATTACCTTTATTTGTAAAACATGCTATGGACCTAAGCACTAACTTGTTGAATGGGATTTCAGATTTACCTTACTCTAAAAAGTCCTGATTACCACCAATTGTTAAATGACTGTTATATTATTTATCATTTCCACTGTATCTACCAATCGGTGTTTTCTCACCCAATGCATTTAGGTAAACTTGTATATCTTTGATACAATAAAACATCTTTGACTTGACTTTGAATCAAATGATTGGAGATTAGACTGGCATTCAAAAACGCACGTGTGAGACAAGAAGCAGCTTGTTATGAAAAGGGTATACGTTGTGTATAAACAATAATGTTGAGTGGATTGTGAGCGCCATTTAGCAGCTCATGACGGAAAGTAGGTGCTATAACAATGATGTTGGCCATTGTTGTTGATATGCTATTAGAATGTATGGGGTATTCCATTTGGGAGTGATATTGTTTATGAATCAAGTTTGTAGGATTGCAACTGGGTTAAGAAAATGATAAATCCATTCACAACGAGTTATGAATTTCGTGTAAACAAGCCATTTTCGTGAAGGCATTCTTCATAATGTAACATTAAAAAATTAGACTGAAACAAGTCAGTTGATAAAAACCAGACTGCAAAATGTTCCGGTATTGTTTTATATGAACTTAAACACTTCTTGCCATGCGGCGTCTGTAACGTCAGGAACGGCTACGTGCAGTTGGCGTGTTGAAAGTTTGACCGAGACAGCATTGTGGCTCGAGTTCTCAGTCAGTTATTAACATAGTACAGTCACGCCAGCGACGTAAATAACGTTGTTGACAGACGTCGATCTGGTAAAGGGCGACAACTAGCGTACAAGTCCGTTTCATCAGGCCCCGGGGTCATGAAAGTGACTTAAGTCTAAAAATTGCTTAAGTCTGTCATTTTGATCTTAAGTCCCCAAAATTGTCTTAAATCGGGGGTCACGTACATTTTTTAGTCTTTGATGTTAAGACTGAGATGTTATGCTTAATACTAGGTCAATGTAACTCAGATCACTTGGAGAGAATTTGTTGTGGATACGGATGCTATATTTTCCTTATGTTTTGTTCACAAAGAACCAAACTATACCAATACAAAGTTCCCCAATGTCAACGGATACATTTTGGTAGCTTCACAATTTATAAGAAAAGATGATAATATTCTTCATGAGAAAGCACGTAAAAGCGATTTGGATGGCCCTATCCGATATGTAAATTAGTTCTTAGATTCACATATTCTCCTGTTTGTGTAGATGTATTTTGACTAATGTTGCATCATTATTAACCGAGTACTAGCCTTATCTTCAATGTAGTGAAATTACCGAAAAGACTACAGCATTGGAGTTGACGTCATTGCTTGTTTTATGTATTTTGCGACGTCGGAAAAGGACGACATTGGTATGCTGATCAGTATGTATCCAACTAATTTCCATGAATTGTGTGAAAGGTTTCGGTTTCTATGTCAGAATTTACACTCTTTCGACAGAACTTAAAATGACTGATTTACCATTTAAATAATGTCCTGAATAGATCCATAATTAGACGGTTTGACTGTGTATCGTAATATGAACAACACGTGCACCTGTTTGACATCAATTTGACGTAAATTAAAAAGAATATTTCACAACACCTGGCCCCGGGGTCATGAAAGTTAAATCGCTGTTCATCAACCTGTTCATATGCAACTGTAATATAGGTCCGAATGGCGAATATTGCACATGGTAGGAACTATTTAAGTACATGTTGCAGTTACGCCTACGTTTGTTCTTCTAATACTTGTTTAAGGGTTTAAAATATGGTCTACTACACTCAGTATGTCAATTTCCTATGTAAATATTCGTCAAACAAACAAAACCCTTGAAAGAATTAAAACCGTTTACCCTTTATATTGAATGAACCTGACTATCTGTGTATTCTTAAATGTTTAACGTTTTTATTGTAAGTAAGAGAAGAAGCCAGATATGCCTATCATTACCGCTGTTGTTCTGCGAGATTTTCCGTCAGTCACAGAAACTATGACAATTTCGTATAAACATATCACACTACGGGCAGGGATGAAAGCCCCATTTGACTTGTTTGGAACATTTCTGCAGGTGCCTGCTACTAAACTATTCTCCTCAATTAATTAAGAGTGACCGGACATGATTACATCATTCTAAAATTGCCATGGTATCTGTCTTAGTCTTAGTCTTAGTTAAGATTTTGCTGAGAGAGTTTCATGATCCAGTCTTATCTAAAATGTTAGCTAAGCAAATGTTTTTAGACCAAATGATTTTTTTGTGCTAAGCAAACTTTAGACTTAAGATTTTTTCATGATCCCGGGGCCAGAACGACTGTGTTACAAAAGCACAACCAAACTGGAGATGAGCTTCACAGAGGTAAGGGCGAGTGGACAGATGAATCATGATCGGCCACATGGATGGAACCTGCATGCCCGACGTCCACGTGTTACCGTGCCATTATAGTACCGTATACCAACTTATGATAAAGGCACCCTTTCTATCATAAAGCGACATTCCTTCCATATCAGGATGAGGGACTCTGATTCGATATAATTGTATTTGTCAAGTCTCATAATGCTTTGGTACTATTCTTCTAAGTCAATGCAGTGTCTGTTAGATGAGTGAGGGAATTGCTGGGACACAAGCTTTAAATTTATAGTCTGTCTTATGGGAGTGAACCCATAGGCGGATCCAGAGGGGGGTGCAGGGGTGCGCACCCCCCTTTTGTCCTGAAAGTTTGTTCGATGACCATTGAAACTCGGGCGAAAATGAACTGTGCACCCCCCTTTTCTCAATGGTGTGCACCCCCCCTTTCTCAAAAAGGTGCATCCGCCCCTGGAACCCTTTACAGTGCGTGAAGCAATTATCCTCGACATCCAATCGCCAAGAATAGACAACGGTTGCGGCCGAGAGTCAGGTACAGGTCCTTGGTGGACAACGGTTGTGGCCGATAGTCAGGTGCAAGTCCTTGGTGGACAACGGTTGCTGTTGATAGTCAGGTACAGGTCCTTGGTGGACAACGGTTGTGGCCGATAGTCAGGTGCAAGTCCTTGGTGGACAACGGTTGCTGTTGATAGTCAGGTACAGGTCCTTGGTGGACAACGGTTGCTGCCGATAGTCAGGTGCAGGTCCTTGGTAGACAACGGTTGCTGCCGATAGTCAGGTGCAGGTCCTTGGTGGACAACGGTTGTGGCCGATAGTCAGGTGCAGGTCCTTGGTGGACAACGGTTGCTGCATATAGTCAGGTGCAGGTCCTTGGTAGACAACGGTTGCTGCCGATAGTCAGGTGCAGGTCGTTGGTGGAAAGGACATCCTTTTCGCTACCATGTGGTGTGGTTTCCGTTTTTGTGGTGTTCGATTCATAGTTTCCAGAACTAAATTACCCTTCGCGCAGAAACTGTCTGAAGTATTGTTATTCCTTTGTATTTATTTCTTGTGTTTTGTCGTGGGGTATCACGCGGTACATGGTATTGTGTGGTATAAAGATGCCGGAAAAGATATTTTGTGCATTTTGTGGTATTATGTGACACTTTGTGTACTGTGTGAAACTGTATGGTATCTCGTGTTTTGTGCGGTACTGTGTTGTATTGTCAAAGCACGAAGACGTCTTCCATGAGTATCCCATATTTCGTTCGATGGGACTGAGTCAGGCCCCGATTTCTCGACAAAAACTTAAGTTTCTACTCAAATTTGAAACTGTGTTTGATAACTTGAAACAGCTGTATTTTTAACTCAACTGCATTTTTGAAATAAAAAAGTCCAAACAACCTAAGTAATCTATCTACCAAACTCAAAATTTATACTGTTTGAGTTTGATATTGATTTCAGTTCATTCAGGGAAATGCATTTTCCTGCGCTTTCTCAAATTTGAGTAAACACAATAACTTCAGTCAAAACTCAGATTTAAGTTTGTTTCGAGAAATAGGGGCCAGGTGATCTCGATGGCCCCTCAATGACGTCAATACCTGCACTTTGCACGCCACGCTTTCTGTGATCGTAGCAACTGCCCACGGTCACTCACGCCATGCCATGGATAACTTGATATACTTTGCAAAATTTTGGAAGATTCCTAGTAGTTCCAAAATCCTATTTCATGACGTCTTTGTGTTGCAGATATATGCTTCCAACCATGAAATACATCCTGCTGGTCGCAGTGCTATACTGCATACACGGAGGTACGTTCTTCGTCTTCTGAGCTATCATATTACTAACGAAACAAAATGATGATATATGTATGTGTTTGACGATATTTGGTTGTAGCTTCAAAGGATATTCCGGCGGGACAGTTGTTTCAAACAACATTGTAGTCATATGAATTCAATCGGTTAAAGTGCAACTTTTCTCACTATCAGAATTCCACATAAAGTATACTTCACTTTGACCTGTGTCAATAATGACATAAACTGAAATTATGAATATGTAATAACCTCCACTGTATATACTGAAGACACCGACGACACCTGTGACCTCAACTGTATATACTGTAGACACGGATGATCTCCACTGTATATACTGTAGACACCGATGACCTCCACTGTATATACTGTAGACACCGATGACCTCCACTGTATATACTGTAGACACCGATGACCTCCACTATATATACTGTAGGCACCGATGACCTCCACTGTATATACTGTAGACTCCACTTTATATACTGTAGACACCGATGACCTCCACTGTATATACTGTAGGCACCGATGACCTCCACTGTATATACTGTAGGCACCGATGACCTCCACTGTATAAACTGTAGACACCGCTGACCTCCACTGTATATACTGTAGACTCCACTTTATATACTGTAGACACCGATGACCTACACTATATATACTGTAGGCACCGATGACCTCCACTGTATATACTGTAGACTCCACTTTAGATACTGTAGACACCGATGACCTCCACTGTATAAACTGTAGACACCGCTGACCTCCACTGTATATACTGTAGACTCCACTTTATATACGGAGACACCGATGACTTCCACTGTATATACTGTAGACACCGCTGACCTCCACTGTATATACTGTAGACTCCACTTTATATACTGTAGACACCGATGACTTCCACTGTATATACTGTAGACACCGATGACCTCCATTGTATATACTGTAGACACCGCTGACCTCCACTGTATATACTGTAGACACCGCTGACCTCCATTGTATATACTGTAGACTCCACTTTATATACTGTAGACACCGATGAGCTCCACTGTATATACTGTAGACACCGATGAATTCCACTGTATATGCTGTAGACACCGATGACCTCCACTGTATATACTGTAGACACCGATGAATTCCACTGTATATACTGTAGACACCGATGACCTCCACTGTATATACTGTAGACACTGATGACCTCCACTGTAAATACTGTAGACACCGATGACCTCCACTCTATATACTGTAGACACGGATGACCTCAACTGTATATACTGTAGACACCGATGACCTCCACTGTATATACTGTAGACACCGATGACCTCCACTGTATATACTGTAGACACCGATGCCCTCCACTGTGTATACTGTAGACACTGATGACCTCCACTGTATATACTGTAGACACTGATGACCTCCACTGTATATACTGTAGACACTGATGACCTCCACTGTATATACTGTAGACACCGATGCCCTCCACTGTGTATACTGTAGACACTGATGACCTCCACTGTATATACTGTAGGCACCGATGACCTCCACTGTATATACTCTAGGCTCCACTGTATATACTGTAGACACCGATGACCTCCACTGTATATACTGTAGACACCGATGACCTCCACTGTATATACTGTAGAGACCGATGACCTCCACTGTATTTACTGTAGACACCTATGACCTCCACTGTATATACTGTACACAGCGATGACCTCCACTGTATTTACTCTAGACACCGATGACCTCCACTGTATATACTGTAGACACCGATGACCTCCACTGTATGTACTGTAGACACTGATGACCTCCACTGTATATACTGTAGAAACCGATGACCTCCACTGGATATACTGTAGACACGGATGACCTCCACTGTATATACTGTAGACACCGATGACCTCCACTGGATATACTGTAGACACGGATGACCTCCATTGTATTTACTGTAGACACTTATGACTTCCCCATTCTTAATTACTGTAGACACGGGTAATTCTGCAGATAGTCATGATGTTTTTTATGCATACACAGTGTCACTACTACTATTACTGACTATATAACTCTTTACAATGCCATGGTGTTTTTTTGAAAGGGGAAGCAAATGCTCCACCCATCATCACGGCACTGCCCACCTACCCAATGTTTGAAAACACGACGAACGGTAAGTACTCACCTCAAATATAGCACGAAAGGTCACTATGTAATTTACAATTGTTACTAGAGCAAATACGCAAATTTCTACCTTGATCAGTACTTTAATAAGAGTTTCGCATATGTTCTTAAAAGATTCAAACTGCTTCATAGGTGGATCACCTGAAGATTTTTACTTGGCACATGTTGCTTCACTATAATATGCATCAACAATCGATAAATCGATAAGTTAGTTGATTTGTTTACTGCAGTTGAATATAAGTAAAATGATTCAAATTTGGTCAGTTAGGCTAATTTGATATTAACATTACTGTAGTCGGATGTGTCGGTTTCATAGTAAGTAGATTTGTGATATTAAACAAAATATTGTCTTATATTGATCACACACCAACAGCCTCTACCACAATATACTGACTGTCATGGTTTACAGGTACCTTCCTCTTCGATATAAGCGCGTCTTACGATAAAGTCTGGCCTGTATTCGAAATAAAATCGGATGAAGTCAGCCATATAGTGAGACTGGAGAACATAAGAAATGGAAGTGGTGTCACGAACGCGTCTGTAGTACTGAACAACATGGTAGACAGAGAGACGGTAAGTATGTACAAGTCAGTATCATTACTGGTCAAAAGTGTTCACAGGGATAGTGAAATGGTAGACTCATCTATGCCCTCACACCATTTGTGAGACAAGAGCGCAGGAACACAGAGATGTGTTTTGATTCATTTTAGGTTTATCAGGTTTATCGCAATGAGTTTCTGCAAGATTGTAAGTATGGTGTAAAACAATAATCACCAATTCATTAAATTCACACCGAATTCTTGTCTTCCGTCTCAACAAATATTTCGTTCGTTTAGCCAACAATCCCATATTTGGTGTGACAAATGACACATGAGAGCTAACAACATTTTTAACTATTTATTGAAAAAAATACTCGTATGCCACAAAATGCTGGTAACAGACGTTGGCTACAACTCATCTATACAAAGTCCAATTAATTAGAGAAAGCTATTACACCGGATTTAATCACTTATACAACCAAGTCCTCTAATCTAAGGACCAGAAAGAAACAGATTCACTGTTTTGTAATTTAACAATGATCCATTGCTTACACCTGAAAACAACATAACTACCTGGAGAAACTCACAAAAAACTCAGCCTTCGTACACTCACCGTCAGCCACGGGTCATGGTTGCACGTCTTGTACCCAGCCAGGGGTAACACATTCATTTATTACTTTGCCCGTTTAAACCCGTCCTTAAATCTGTGATCAAACTTAGTGCTGGCGAAAAGGTGACCGTAACTTGCCACAATGGTTGAATCATTGTTTCTTATTTCTCCGTGTGTAAATGTGAAAGTCGAAATAGAATTATTTGTGTATTTATGTAGTTCGTTCGTTCTCCCTTGACACCCTCTGACTTCCCACATGAAGCTGATACGGTGTATAATAACTGGAGCGGGGTTCTTTGTATCTGAGGCTGTAAACATCCGGGTTAGAATTGGTCTTCGGTAACCCGTGCTTGTAAGAGGCGACTGGCAGGATCGGGTGATCAGACTCGCTGACTTGGTTGACACATGTTTTCATCCCAATTGCGTAGATCGATGCTCATGCTGTTGACCACTAGACTCGACTATTTACAGACCGCCGCCATATAGATGGAATATTGCTGGGTGCGGCGTTTAACAACCAATCAACGAACCAACTTTGCATCTGACTCGATTTCAGAAGTGTCTATCCTGTAGATCTTAATTTTGTAATATCTTATATTTTCAATACTGTACATGGAATAGTGATTGTTCTGTGATACAAATCCCCATGATGAAAGCTTCCCGACTTGACGGTAGGAATAAACAATGAATCGATCCAAATCCATCTTATTTGATTAATTATATTAACGTGAATATCTCTTGCAGGATGGTGCCACAAAGACTTTGACATTCTATGCATCTGACGACGTATATACGGTAATATATTTTTTCTAACCTCGGATACACCTGTCGAAAGAAATATGGGCTATCACGCGAGTGTGTTTGAGATGGTTAACATACTCCATTAGGAATAAACATTGTATTAAACGAGCATTAACCATCCCAAAACACACGAGTGGGATAACCTATTATCATACAATGGCATTCTTACGTTATAGTTTAAAACAAATACTATTTCAATTGCAACAAATCATGAAACTAAACTTAATGGAATGTGCACAGATATCTATGACGTCACAAAATGTGCGTAATAATACGTTACGCCACAAGCTTGGTGACACAATTTGACTCCATTGACTGCATTAGGTCATCTAGTTCCCAGTAAGTTTATTTATTAAAGCACGTATTGTTGTCAACAAATCTTAGCTTACATTTGAACAATTACAACAAACACGTGTGGAACTTCAGAAACCTTCAGTTAACCTTTTGAACAACAACAAAAACACTATAATGATCTGGATTCATGTACCGTCTGCTCGCTAACACTGACAAATTTGCACTATTTGTATGACCCCAACGGATACCAAAACTATCCGATGGCCTTGTCCTGCCGAGAACGCTAGATCCATTGTATGATAAATATAATGTCTTCATCAATTCAGACTTTCTTTCCTTAATCTAATTGACACTGCGAGATACGACTAAAATACTATTTTAACCTGTGTTCTAGCAAGCCATGTCTTTGAAAATCTAAAACAAATACACTTCCAAATTTAAGAATGATGCCCGGTATTGTTAATATAATACAGAATGTTCTGTAAAATACAGAATGAACCTTTACACTTTTTTACTAAATGATAGAAAAGGACTATGATGATGTTTCTGATGCAGGTGTCGAAGGGGGTCATCCTCATCATTATGGATGTGAACGACGAGAAACCTGTGTTCACCCAAGCCGGCTACAGGGTCACCGTGATGGAGGTAGGAGGATAGGACTAGTCTGAATACAACCATTGGGAAGTTCAGGTTGAGCATCCTCTTCACGAACACCTGATGTAATTCTATTCTGAATGGTAACATTGGAAGTTCAGGTTGAGCATCCTCTTCGCGAACATCTGGTGTAATGCTATTCTGAATGGTAACATTGGAAGTTCAGGTTGAGCATCCTCTTCACGAACATCTGATGTAATGCTATTCTGAATGGTAAGATTGGAAGTTCAGGTTGAGCATCCCCTTCACGAAAATCTGGTGTAATGCTATTCTAAATGGTAACATTGGAAGTTCAGGTTGAGCATCCTCTTCACGAACACCTGATGTAATGCTATTCTGAATGGTAACATTGGAAGTTCAGGTTGAGCATCCTCTTCACGAACATCTGGTGTAATGCTATTCTGAATGGTAACATTGGAAGTTCAGGTTGAGCATCCTCTTCACGAACATCTGGTGTAATGCTATTCTAAATGGCAACATTGGAAGTTCAGGTTGAGCATCCTCTTCACGAACACCTGGTGTAATGCTATTCTGAATGGTAAGATTGAAGTTCAGGTTGAGTTCCATCCTTTTGCAGATACCATCTTAATGGTAATTGAAGTTCAGGTTGAGCATCCTTTTCACGAGTGTCATCACCAGCAGAAACCATCTTCGTAATTGAAGTGAAGTTTAAAAGTCCTTTCGTGAATATCTTTGTCTTGGTCCGTACATTCGTAGTGTTATCATGATAATAAACGCACGTTAAACATGTCCTTCATACGAAACTTGACTTCTGAAAAATACTGGCACCTCTGGTTATGGAGCTTGGTTAAAACCTTGATGAATGGATATCCAAAGATGTGCTATGTCAAAAGTCAAAGTCAAAGAGGTTTATTGTAAAAAGGCCCCGGCCCATATACATTGGATTCATACATATACATTATACGGATGGTGCAATGAGCAGTAATTAGTGATCTAAACAGCAAATCATTTTACAGGCAGTAAATTACGCACAAGTAGTGAAATACGATGAGTCTACAAAACATTTGTCAGATTGTTACGTTTAATAAGAGCATAATTAATATAGTACGACAGCTATATTATTACATGCTGGTCAGTTGATGAAAGAAGTAGTCTAAAAGCTAATGAAGGAGGCTTACATAGATAATATTCAGCTATATATTTCGTACGCAAATCTTCATAAAAGGACAAACCAGTAAAAATGAATTCCATTTTCCACATCTAAATTACACAGGAGGCACATTCCCCTGCATCTTTCTATTTACAAACGTCTTCCTTCGTTTACCACTACATGTGTGTTGATCAAGCCTAACCTAAAACGTATAGGTGGATATCTTAATTTCTTCGATGTTAAAAACGACAGATATTTCTCCGGCTGGAGTAATGACTTGTATATTCTATAAGAGTCATACCGTGAACGACTGTATTATCTATTACTGAATGCCATTCAAACATATCAAGACTTCTTTCTCGAAACTTGGTTAAAACAAACTTGCATCACCAACTAACTGACTTTAACCATACAAAACCATAACCATGTGAAAAAAGTTTTTTACATAAGATGCCCACGTCACTTTACCAATGTTGTCCAAATGAACAAGCATGTTACAAGACTTTTTAGGTAATCTATTTTCTTGCATACACAATATCTTAAACCAGAATCTTATACATCGAATATGAGCATATATATACAGGGGGTACCTCCCATTCACCGTACACCATACAATTCGGTGTAGATGGCCCAGCACTTATGTTTCAATGATAATTCAGTAACAGGTGTTTTCCAATTCATAGTGGATGTAAACTTGATACCAAGATAAGTATAATGACGGTTGGTTATTAAAGGACCAGTTTTTTCTTTAGAAGATTTCGGCCACCTTTTCTAAATATAACAATGTTAGTCTTATCTAGATTTACTGATAGATCCCATGTTTTTAGTATACCGTTCCAAAATATTCAACTACAGATTCTGATAAAAAGAATTACGTCATCAACAAATAAAAGAATAAAAGTTCTAAGAGATCTGGGAACATGACCTCACTCTTGGCAGGTATATACTTAGAACTTGTCAGTAAATAGACAAGACATTGCCGGTCTGGCGTTAAATGTGCACTCCCTGGCGCAAAGTTGTGAAATGCTCATTCGGTATCTCATAAGATTTGTACGTCATTGTAATCTCTTTGTGTGACCTCCGTTCTTTATGTTTCTCAAGTCTGCTGTAAAAAATACATCAACAACATTAACAGTAACAGCAACGGATCGTGATTCTGGAATTGGGGGTCAAGTTTACTATGGCTTGGAGGTAAGTGATGACCACCGAATACGACCAAGAGCAGATATGTTCAAAATACGTACCCGTCCTACCCGAGATGTTACAGTCACATGTATATTTATACACCTCCAAACACCTGCTGGCGGAATTCTGAAATTAATTATTACGTCTTTCACAAAGTCATCACCTCCACTTTAAGGTCGTTATATCACAATTTGGATGTTTACCTGTTTGTTGGGAGCACGTTCTTCATACAACTGTAACTTCATACAACATGTAACTGTAACCTGCTCACAATGATAACGTTCAGGTGTTTATGAAAAGTAATCATAAACAATGCTTATCCATACAACATTTGAATGTACAACGAAACAATACCATTTACGGAATCGATACGAAACTAACACAGTTACAGCCTTCCTGGGTACGCTTGAGACTATTTGGTGCCAGGCCCTGTTGAGGAAAGCATATGGAAGCACAGGAGACAAGACTGTGAAAGTATATTGCTCACTGATGAGTCCACCTAACATGGCTGTACTGCCTTGGCTACCGGTATTTCCAGATGGGCAGATGGTTGCTACAGGATAGAACCAATCGATAACGCTCGTTAGAGACAATTTATAACTGACATTTAACCATTTGTAGTCATTTCAGGCACCAGTTCAGTACCGATAGTAGAATATATGGCATCGTGCGTTCGTGGCATATCACATTGATTTAACTGGTCCTACCTGTGACGAGATACAGTTTGGGGTAGTTGAGTCAGAGACATGTAAACAGTAATTCAATTGCTCTGATGGCATCATTTTCTTAAGATGGGAGATTTTAACGACATGCTTTACTCTAAATGAGATGGTTTCTGTTGTTTTCCTTGCAGGCCAAGGGTCAGGTGAGTGAATAGATTTTGTTTTTTAAATGTATCTGTCACATAAAGCTATCGATGAAAAGTATCCTGTTTTCTGAAGTTAAACAGTTTCCTGCAATTGTTAATGCCGTGACGTGGATGGAGGGTAATGGTACATGACATTTGTAAACATCTTGCAAATGAGTGAACTGGATTCCTCAGTGATCAGTGAGACAATACTACTGCTGTTGCTGATTCTACTTCTTCTACTACCACCATTGCTTCTTGTACTCCTCTTACAGCTCTCCCATTATCACTACTACTACTGCTAAGTACCACTAGTATCAACAGTACTCGTACTACTACTAAAGGCTACCCCCCTCCTCCTCCTTCTCCTGCTACTGCTATTGGTCAGTGTAAACTGACGTAAGTGATTAATCATTTCGGGGGTGGTCTAATGTTTATGTACTGCCTTTATGAGTATATGCTCCTCGTTTCAAATGCATTGTAAATGCGTCTTTTCAGTGCATTACATATATATCATGTTTCCAGAATGCCGATGACTACAAATACACGTTCTATGTGGAGGCAAGAACTGGGCAGATATTCCAGAATGAAAGTCTGGATTATGAGACAAGGACCTTCTATCAATACAACGTGAAGGCATGGGTAGATATGGTTTGATGTATATTTCATTGGAATTATGGGCAATTTGCTGTTTGAGATGAGTCCTTTCGCAACAATCCTCTGTGTCCATTTTGCTACCTGGTTTTGAAATCAAATTCGGTCAGTATTGTTTAACATAAAATACCAATTTTAATCATAAATAAAACTGAAGGTTATGACCTGTAAACAATGTTCTTCCTACTCGACACAAGTACCTGGTCATCAAAGAGATGTTTCTCATTGTGCATCTACAATAGTTAACACCTATTTATACTACGTGTCCTAGGGACGCCAAACCACATGGCATTCTGTATCGACATTATAGATTACGTGTCCTCAGGATGCCATTCCACATGAAACATTCTGTATCGACATTATATACTACGTGTCCTCAGGACGTTACATTCTTGTATCGATGACATTTTATACTATTCCTCAGGACATCCATCGACATTCTGTATACATTTTATACATGTCTTCAGGATGCCATCCTACGTGACATTCTGTATCGACATTTTATACTACTTGTCCTCAGGACGCCATCCTACGTGACATTCTGTATCGACATTTGTATACTACTTGTCCTCAGGTCTTCCACGACGCCATCCTACATGACATTCTGTATCGACATTATATACTACGTGTCCTCAGGACGCCATCCTACGTGACATTCTGTATCGACATTTATATACTACATGTCCTCAGGACGCCATCCTACGTGACATTCTGTATCGACATTATATATTACTTGGTCCTCAGGACGCCATCCTACGTGACATTGTATCGACATTTTATAATAACTTGTCCTCAGGACGCCATCCTACGTTTGACATTCTGTATCGACATTATATACTACATGTCCTCAGGACGCCATCCTACGTGACATTCTGTATCGACATTATATACTACGTGTCCTCAGGACGCCATCCTACGTGACATTCTGTATCGACATTATATACTACTTGTCCTCAGGACGCCATCCCACATGACATTCTGTATCGACATTTTATACTACATGTCCTCAGGACGCCATCCTCACGTGACATTCTGTATCGACATTATATACTACTTGTCTTCAGGACGCCATCCTACGTGACATTCTGTATCGACATTTTATACTACTTGTCCTCAGGACGCCATCCTACGTGACATTCTGTATCGACATTTTATACTACGTGTCCTCAGGACGCCATCCTACGTGACATTCTGTATCGACATTATATACTACATGTCCTCAGGACGCCATCCTACATGACATTCTGTATCGACATTTTATACTACTTGTCTTCAGGACG